AGTAAACTGCTAGATGACAGTGCCTGGCCCCGTGGGGATGACAATGCTGAGAGCTCTGGTAGCAGCTGATTTTGGTGTCTTATTGCCGCCTTATTTTGCAGAATGTAACACCCTGAATGGATTAGTGTCTGAGGTTTTTATCCGATTCTTTGTGGAGACAGTTGGCCATTATTCCCTGTTCCTAACCCAGAATGAAAAAGGAGAGCGTGCCTTCCAAAGGGAGGCTTTCCGTAAATCTGTGGCCTCCAAGAGTATCCGCCGCTTCTTGGAAGTTTTCATGGAATCCCAAATGTTTGCTGGCTTCATCCAAGACAGAGAGCTGAGGAAATGCAGGGCAAAAGGTAAGGGTGGCTTTTGTTCCTGCAGCGTGGGCTCACTGTGTTTCTCACAGGTCTCCCGTGGGCTCTGCTGTCAGGGCTGAGCACATTCCCTACGGCTGGAAAATCTCCCAAAACACATCGTCTGCTTCCTGTGGGCCTAGATAGACTGGAGCTGTGGTGGTGATAACACGAAGGCTTTAACCAGGAGAATATTCATATATAAGCACCTTAAATCACGCCAAGGTGGAACAGGGAAGGTTCCTGTGGAGGGGGCAGTGTCTGGAGAGCTGCTGGGCAGAAAAGGACCTGGGGGTGTTGGTCGACTGTCGGCTGAACAGGAGCCAGCAGTGTGCCCAGGTGGCCAAGAAGGCCAACAGCATCCTGGCCTGTATCAGGAACAGCGTGGGGAGTAGGGCCCGAGAGGTGATTGTCCCCCTGTACTGGGCACTGGTGAGGCCTCACCTCGAGTACTGTGTCCAGTTTTGGGCCCAGAGAAGGGCGACAAAGCTGGTGAGGGGTCTGGAGCACAAGTCTTATGAGGAGAGGCTGAGGGAGCTGGGGTTATTCAGCCTGGAGAAGAGGAGGCTGAGGGGAGACCTCAGGCTGGATATTAGGAAACATTTTTTCACGGAAAGGGTTCTCAGGCATTGGAATGGGCTGCCCAGGGAGGTGGTTGAGGCCCCATCCCTGGAGGTGTTCAAAAGACAGGTTGATGTAGTGCTGGGAGGTCTGGTTTAGTGATGGTGATGCTTCTTGTTTGTTGTGTGGGTGTCTATTTTTGTCAGTCAGGTTGACGGTTGGACAAGATGATCTTTAAGGTCCCTTCCAACCTGGAAGATTCTGTGATCCCTGGTGGGGACCCCCCCCGAGGCTGCCGGGCAGTGCTTGCGGGGGGGTGCGGTAGGATGAAGCCCAGCTAACCAGCCCCCTCCGGCCCTGCCGAGCGGAGCCGCTTGGCGTTCCCTCCCCACATCCGTTATCCCTCTCGTCACGTCCGGGGCTGCCCGTCCCCGTCCTGGTGCCGCCGGAGGCCGAGCAGCCCCTCGGCAGGAGCGAGGGGGGTGTTAGGGGCGAAGGCGGGGGTGCGGATGCAGCCAGAGGGCTCACCCCCTCCCCTTTCCCTTCTCCCTTAGGTCTCTTCGAGCAGAGGGTCGAGCAGTATTTGGAAGAGCTTCCCGACACAGAACAAAGCGGAGTAAACAAGTTCCTGCGAGGCCTCGGTGAGGAAAATCTTTAGAAGTGTTTCTGAAATGAATTTTCATGTCTTTTTTTTTTAATTTAAAAAGCCTTACCTGAGGTAAAATCAGATAGTTGAGCGGCTTCAGCGGGATATAGGAGGTACCAAAAGGGAAACGATAAAAGCAGACTAAAAGCTGAGAGAACCAGGTTTAATTATGAACCTTGTTAGCATTTTCATCTTCACCTGGGGGCGGGGGAAGCAAGCCCGGGTCTGGAGGAGAGGAGGAGGGCAGAACACTGGGGACTCTGTTGGCTGGCGAGGTAGAAGTGTTATTTATTATACAGCAATTACATTATAAATGGGACCCCTTTGCTACGTAACTTTTGCTTGCCTGTGGCTTTTCAATGTGTGCTGGGGACTGACGGTGTGCTTTCTTTAGGAAACAAAATGAAGTTCCTTCACAAGAAGAACTGACTCCTTTCTGCTGAAATACCAACCCAAAGACTATTTATGAAGCTGTGTGGGAGATGCCGGCGGCGCCGTGCGGGAGGAGAGTGGGGCAGCCCACGGACGCTGTCAGACATTGTGCCAGATGATGGCTCCTTTATCTATTTGGGTAGAATTTGTACATAATGTGCTGTAAGCTTTTGTAACTGATTTTGTAATGAGCAAGGAAAACTGTGGTAAATATTTGTATATTCCTGAGAATAACAGGTGCTTTGTTGTTGGTTTTTTTTTTTTGGTTTTTTTGGTTTTTTTTTTCCTTTAGTATGAATTGAGTTATGCTTGGTGCAAAAAAAATGACTAGCTGGTTATGTGCAGCTGACTGTCTCAGCAGAACCACTGACTTCACGGGATGTTTGTGAGAGCTACACTGATGCCTGGGTACTGCGGGGATGAATGAGCTCGGGTACGTGGGGAGGGGGCTGCTTTCACGTGGCAGAGTTGCTATTTTATTTTTATTTTTTTTTTCCTTCTAATTAATTTTAAAAGAAAGAAATTACAAAGTAACTTGATAATAGGGTACTTGGTTCACAATACAGAACTTCCACTTGGCTTGAACTCTGGTCAGTAAACTACTTGTAATCCATTCTGCACTAAGACTGCTCAGCCTGAGGAGATCTCAGTCCTTTGACATGCGAGCTGCAACCAGTAGGTACAGGACATCCTTTCCTCATGTATGTATTTATGGTTTCTAATAAACTCTGTAAATATACCTCTTTGTTTATATTCATTGCACACCTCTGCGGTTTCTGATGTTGAGGAGGGACAAAACCAGCGTCAATTTCCTGTGACTTTTAATGAATTTGTAATTAAAATACAAAATGGTTATTACAAGCCTGTCTTTTGGTAGGTTTGCTATTTCATGACCTGTAGTTTGATTTTTCTTCCATGTTTTTCACCAAGGCTGAGACAAGACATTTATATCCCTGCTAATTTTATCCTAAAAGAAGCATCTCAACACATTTTTTTTTTCTTTGCATGCGTTAGCAACAAATTACTTTTTGTCATTGTGAGTATCCTCAGTACTGGCTCCTCAACTGTGGCAGTTTTCGGGTTGGTTTTGTGCTACCTTGGTTGGATGGTCAGAGCAGAACACGAGCAGCTTGTAGCAGGCAGAGCCTTTGCCTGAAGCTCTGATGAGCTGATCATCTACATTTCATGAGAGTCTGCTTCTCTTTTGCATTAGCTACAGTCAGTTTAGTTGCTGTTTCCATTTCAATGAAGGCTCTTCAGCAGGAGGCACCAGTCAGCTTGCCCTGGCCTTCTGCACAGCTGTGGAAGTTATTCAAGTACCACATGCATCTCTGCTCTGGTAATCTCTGTTGAGATTCTCTAAGTTTTCCCTTAGTCTGAAAAAGAAAATGTGAAATACTTGAATATATTTGCAATTCTGACAGCTGATGAAAATTAGATAAAGCTTCCTCCCTTAAAAAAAAAAATTAACACTGTATTTTTCTTCATTTGCAGTGTGATTTCTTTAGAGTGGCTTTGAGGCTCGCGCAATTCCTAACCTGACAGTGGTTCTGGTTTGCTGACAGCCTCATAGAACAAAACTGAGGGATTATTCACCAAAAAGGTGAAGTCGTTTCCTTTTTTGCTTCCCTCCCTCACACTCCTGTCTACACAAAAGATTGTTAAGTGTACATGAAATGCCTATAAAATATCAAGTGGTTTTGATTCAATGGAAATGTACTCACAAATGTTAATGTCCATTAGTTTTCCTCTATAATATGCTGTTAAATTCCAGAATGACTTCTAGACGTAGTTCTTCAGAGCGGAAGGAGTAATTTCTACAGGTGGATCTGGCTATTTTATTAACAACAGCTGCTAGTAAATACTTGGGGAAGTATGTATTTCTCTTCAGAAAATGATGGATAAAACATCGTCATCAGCTGAAGGATGTGGCACAGAGAAGAGCTGTGGCAACAGCAAGAAAAAGGCACAGAATGCCCATGTCCAAGAATGTGGCGCTGTAAAACTCATCTCCCACACCAAAGCTGTTTTCCTCCATCTGCACTTTTTAAAAAAATCTAACTAGAAAGCTTTTAAACATTGTATTACCCATCAACACGCCATTCCAGTGTTGGTAACGTGAATCAGAGGAGAGTACCAGACAAGGGGAGATCATGTCTCAGAAAATTAGTAGCTGTCTTCTTGATACTCAAACTATGGTTTATATAAAACAATCCTGGTGTTATCCGGAGATCTGGGCTTGAAAGTGTCAGATGAACAAAAGCTAAGGAGTGTATTGTTTTGCCTTCTATATTAGTTGTTAACACTAATGGTGTTCCTGAGGAATGGAATTCACATGTTTACCTGTGCACCATTTAACTGCAATGGAAATCCTGAAGAAAAACAAATCTGATAGGGAGAATCGCGCTTTAAATGGGTAAAGTTTTGTTTAAAGCCTCATGGCACAACATACACAAAAAACCAAACAAGAAACACCATCACTCTCCAGGAGTTGTCACTTTACCGCGGCAGACAGTTGTATTTAAGCACATGATATTTATTTTCCCGTCGTTATCAATATTTAATAAACTGACTAAGCAAAATTTCAAGTTTTACTACATTCTGCTCAAAATCCTACTTTTGCTACAGATCATGGAGGGAAGAGAAAGCAAGTTGAGTCTGTAATTGTAACAGGGCAGTATTTAACGCTATCTGCCGGCTACATCCCCCCCCCTCAGTGGGGGCCGCGGTCCAGGGATGCTCCTCTTCCCTCCCGGGGGCGGCCCGGCCCAGAGGCCCGGCGGGGTGGGGGCAGCAGCCCAGACCGGTGTGTCCTCTCAGGAAGAAAGAGAAGATTCAGCTCGCCATGACCGGCCACCGCCTGCCTCACTAGGGCGACTCCGCTCTCCTTTAAAGCCGGGAGGGGTGGGGGGTGTCCCCGCCGCCTCCCGCCCCTCACAGCCGGTACCACAGCGGATGTTCCCGCCCTCTCCGCGCGCCGGATCTCGCGAGACTTCGACCCCTGCCCCGGGCGCCACCCGTGAAGCCTCGCGAGAGTTGGGCCCCGCCCCCGCCCTGCCTTCCCCCGCTCTCGCGAGCGCCGCGCTCTTTCTCTTCCTTCCCTCACGCTGACAAGATGGTGGGTGCTGCCGCTGGGGATGGGACGGGGGGGCCGGCGGCCGCCGCCCCTCGCTCCCGCGGTGGGACGGGGCTGGGGAGTAGTGTGGGGATGGAGGGGAAGTCGCTTCTGCGAGCCCGCGACCCGCTCAGGGTGCGGTGAGGCCGCTGGGGCCTGCCCTCGGAGGGCCCGGGCCGCAATGGCGGCCTGGCTGCGTGGCCGCTGAGGGGAGCGCGGTGTCGGAACGGCGGCCGCCGAGGAGGGCGGGTGGTACCGCTGCCTCTGGCCGCCCGTTCTGCTCATAGGCGCTTTCCTCTTCTCCCGCAGCCTTCCAGACTAAGGAAGACCCGGAAGCTGAGAGGGCACGTTAGCCACGGCCACGGCCGCGTTGGTGAGTGGGGGGGCGGCCGCTGGTGGGCCCAGGTCCCGTGTTGGTGAGTGGGGGGGCGGCCGCTGGTGGGCTGAGGCCGCAGAAAAATGCCGCTGTGTGGGGGCAGAGGCCGCAGCGATGGGCTGAGCTGAAGTCTTGTGTGTTCTTTCAGACTTCACTGGGTCTGTAACGTCAGTAGCTCAGGCCATATGTGCAGGTTGGGTGATATGTTAAACTTATGGGGCAGTGCTGTGTCCTTTGTAACTCTTCCTACCATTTCCACCATTTGTGCTAGCACTGGTGTCTTCTTATACTCCTCTAAGCTAACCAGATGTATGAGGTAGTTTTTTTTTTTAAGCCTGTAGGGTTATTTTATAGTTGGTTTATCTCACTGAATTGAAATGAACACAGAAGAGGGGATAGAATCGGAATAATTAGCTCAAATTGACGTTGAACGTACCTCTCAGCTCATGTATTATGCGTAATATTCTTAGTGTAACAACCTTAAACTTTTCTTTTTAGGCAAACACAGGAAACATCCCGGAGGGCGTGGTAATGCTGGTGGTTTGCACCATCACAGGATTAACTTTGATAAATAGTAAGCTAACACTTTAAATATATACTACCAAAATGCATGCTCGTGAAGTAGAAACACCTAACAAAACTTCCTACAATCCTTTGTATTTTTCCTTCTAATATGAAGTGTGGTATTACAGCTACAGTCAGCTCATGTCCCCATTTATCCTAAAATCAAAGACTTTTTCACTTAATGCTTGCGGGGGGGTGCGGTAGGATGAAGCCCAGCTAACCAGAAGGTGTGCTGGAGGACACCCCCAGAGCCAGCCCCCGCCCAGGACCCCCCGTCCGGCCCTGCCGAGGGGAGCCGCTTGGCGTTCCCTCCCCACATCCGTTATCCCTCTCGTCACGTCCGGGGTTGCCCGTCCCCTTCCTGGTGCCTCCGGAGGCCGAGCAGCCCCTCGGCAGGAGCGAGGGGGGTGTTAGGGGGAAGCCGGGGGCGCGGGTCCAGGCGGAGGGCTCACCCCCTCCCTCCCTCCCCTCTCCCGCAGGTCTCTTCGAGCAGAGGGTCGAGCAGTATTTGGAAGAGCTTCCCGACACAGAACAAAGCGGAGTAAACAAGTTCCTGCGAGGCCTCGGTGAGGAAAATCTTTAGAAGTGTTTCTGAAATGAATTTTCATGTCTTTTTTTTTTAATTTAAAAAGCCTTACCTGAGGTAAAATCAGATAGTTGAGCGGCTTCAGCGGGATATAGGAGGTACCAAAAGGGAAACGATAAAAGCAGACTAAAAGCTGAGAGAACCAGGTTTAATTATGAACCTTGTTAGCATTTTCATCTTCACCTGGGGGCGGGGGAAGCAAGCCCGGGTCTGGAGGAGAGGAGGAGGGCAGAACACTGGGGACTCTGTTGGCTGGCGAGGTAGAAGTGTTATTTATTATACAGCAATTACATTATAAATGGGACCCCTTTGCTACGTAACTTTTGCTTGCCTGTGGCTTTTCAATGTGTGCTGGGGACTGACGGTGTGCTTTCTTTAGGAAACAAAATGAAGTTCCTTCACAAGAAGAACTGACTCCTTTCTGCTGAAATACCAACCCAAAGACTATTTATGAAGCTGTGTGGGAGATGCCGGCGGCGCCGTGCGGGAGGAGAGTGGGGCAGCCCACGGACGCTGTCAGACATTGTGCCAGATGATGGCTCCTTTATGTATTTGGGTAGAATTTGTACATAATGTGCTGTAAGCTTTTGTAACTGATTTTGTAATGAGCAAGGAAAACTGTGGTAAATATTTGTATATTCCTGAGAATAACAGGTGCTTTGTTGTTGGTTTTTTTTTTTTGGTTTTTTTGGTTTTTTTTTTCCTTTAGTATGAATTGAGTTATGCTTGGTGCAAAAAAAATGACTAGCTGGTTATGTGCAGCTGACTGTCTCAGCAGAACCACTGACTTCACGGGATGTTTGTGAGAGCTACACTGATGCCTGGGTACTGCGGGGATGAATGAGCTCGGGTACGTGGGGAGGGGGCTGCTTTCACGTGGCAGAGTTGCTATTTTATTTTTATTTTTTTTTTCCTTCTAATTAATTTTAAAAGAAAGAAATTACAAAGTAACTTGATAATAGGGTACTTGGTTCACAATACAGAACTTCCACTTGGCTTGAACTCTGGTCAGTAAACTACTTGTAATCCATTCTGCACTAAGACTGCTCAGCCTGAGGAGATCTCAGTCCTTTGACATGCGAGCTGCAACCAGTAGGTACAGGACATCCTTTCCTCATGTATGTATTTATGGTTTCTAATAAACTCTGTAAATATACCTCTTTGTTTATATTCATTGCACACCTCTGCGGTTTCTGATGTTGAGGAGGGACAAAACCAGCGTCAATTTCCTGTGACTTTTAATGAATTTGTAATTAAAATACAAAATGGTTATTACAAGCCTGTCTTTTGGTAGGTTTGCTATTTCATGACCTGTAGTTTGATTTTTCTTCCATGTTTTTCACCAAGGCTGAGACAAGACATTTATATCCCTGCTAATTTTATCCTAAAAGAAGCATCTCAACACATTTTTTTTTTCTTTGCATGCGTTAGCAACAAATTACTTTTTGTCATTGTGAGTATCCTCAGTACTGGCTCCTCAACTGTGGCAGTTTTCGGGTTGGTTTTGTGCTACCTTGGTTGGATGGTCAGAGCAGAACACGAGCAGCTTGTAGCAGGCAGAGCCTTTGCCTGAAGCTCTGATGAGCTGATCATCTACATTTCATGAGAGTCTGCTTCTCTTTTGCATTAGCTACAGTCAGTTTAGTTGCTGTTTCCATTTCAATGAAGGCTCTTCAGCAGGAGGCACCAGTCAGCTTGCCCTGGCCTTCTGCACAGCTGTGGAAGTTATTCAAGTACCACATGCATCTCTGCTCTGGTAATCTCTGTTGAGATTCTCTAAGTTTTCCCTTAGTCTGAAAAAGAAAATGTGAAATACTTGAATATATTTGCAATTCTGACAGCTGATGAAAATTAGATAAAGCTTCCTCCCTTAAAAAAAAAAATTAACACTGTATTTTTCTTCATTTGCAGTGTGATTTCTTTAGAGTGGCTTTGAGGCTCGCGCAATTCCTAACCTGACAGTGGTTCTGGTTTGCTGACAGCCTCATAGAACAAAACTGAGGGATTATTCACCAAAAAGGTGAAGTCGTTTCCTTTTTTGCTTCCCTCCCTCACACTCCTGTCTACACAAAAGATTGTTAAGTGTACATGAAATGCCTATAAAATATCAAGTGGTTTTGATTCAATGGAAATGTACTCACAAATGTTAATTTCCATTAGTTTTCCTCTATAATATGCTGTTAAATTCCAGAATGACTTCTAGACGTAGTTCTTCAGAGCGGAAGGAGTAATTTCTACAGGTGGATCTGGCTATTTTATTAACAACAGCTGCTAGTAAATACTTGGGGAAGTATGTATTTCTCTTCAGAAAATGATGGATAAAACATCGTCATCAGCTGAAGGATGTGGCACAGAGAAGAGCTGTGGCAACAGCAAGAAAAAGGCACAGAATGCCCATGTCCAAGAATGTGGTGCTGTAAAACTCATCTCCCACACCAAAGCTGTTTTCCTCCATCTGCACTTTTTAAAAAAATCTAACTAGAAAGCTTTTAAACATTGTATTACCCATCAACACGCCATTCCAGTGTTGGTAACGTGAATCAGAGGAGAGTACCAGACAAGGGGAGATCATGTCTCAGAAAATTAGTAGCTGTCTTCTTGATACTCAAACTATGGTTTATATAAAACAATCCTGGTGTTATCCGGAGATCTGGGCTTGAAAGTGTCAGATGAACAAAAGCTAAGGAGTGTATTGTTTTGCCTTCTATATTAGTTGTTAACACTAATGGTGTTCCTGAGGAATGGAATTCACATGTTTACCTGTGCACCATTTAACTGCAATGGAAATCCTGAAGAAAAACAAATCTGATAGGGAGAATCGCGCTTTAAATGGGTAAAGTTTTGTTTAAAGCCTCATGGCACAACATACACAAAAAACCAAACAAGAAACACCATCACTCTCCAGGAGTTGTCACTTTACCGCGGCAGACAGTTGTATTTAAGCACATGATATTTATTTTCCCGTCGTTATCAATATTTAATAAACTGACTAAGCAAAATTTCAAGTTTTACTACATTCTGCTCAAAATCCTACTTTTGCTACAGATCATGGAGGGAAGAGAAAGCAAGTTGAGTCTGTAATTGTAACAGGGCAGTATTTAACGCTATCTGCCGGCTACATCCCCCCCCCTCAGTGGGGGCCGCGGTCCAGGGATGCTCCTCTTCCCTCCCGGGGGCGGCCCGGCCCAGAGGCCCGGCGGGGTGGGGGCAGCAGCCCAGACCGGTGTGTCCTCTCAGGAAGAAAGAGAAGATTCAGCTCGCCATGACCGGCCACCGCCTGCCTCACTAGGGCGACTCCGCTCTCCTTTAAAGCCGGGAGGGGTGGGGGGTGTCCCCGCCGCCTCCCGCCCCTCACAGCCGGTACCACAGCGGATGTTCCCGCCCTCTCCGCGCGCCGGATCTCGCGAGACTTCGACCCCTGCCCCGGGCGCCACCCGTGAAGCCTCGCGAGAGTTGGGCCCCGCCCCCGCCCTGCCTTCCCCCGCTCTCGCGAGCGCCGCGCTCTTTCTCTTCCTTCCCTCACGCTGACAAGATGGTGGGTGCTGCCGCTGGGGATGGGACGGGGGGGCCGGCGGCCGCCGCCCCTCGCTCCCGCGGTGGGACGGGGCTGGGGAGTAGTGTGGGGATGGAGGGGAAGTCGCTTCTGCGAGCCCGCGACCCGCTCAGGGTGCGGTGAGGCCGCTGGGGCCTGCCCTCGGAGGGCCCGGGCCGCAATGGCGGCCTGGCTGCGTGGCCGCTGAGGGGAGCGCGGTGTCGGAACGGCGGCCGCCGAGGAGGGCGGGTGGTACCGCTGCTTCTGGCCGCCCGTTCTGCTCATAGGCGCTTTCCTCTTCTCCCGCAGCCTTCCAGACTAAGGAAGACCCGGAAGCTGAGAGGGCACGTTAGCCACGGCCACGGCCGCGTTGGTGAGTGGGGGGGCGGCCGCTGGTGGGCCCAGGTCCCGTGTTGGTGAGTGGGGGGGCGGCCGCTGGTGGGCTGAGGCCGCAGAAAAATGCCGCTGTGTGGGGGCAGAGGCCGCAGCGATGGGCTGAGCTGAAGTCTTGTGTGTTCTTTCAGACTTCACTGGGTCTGTAACGTCAGTAGCTCAGGCCATATGTGCAGGTTGGGTGATATGTTAAACTTATGGGGCAGTGCTGTGTCCTTTGTAACTCTTCCTACCATTTCCACCATTTGTGCTAGCACTGGTGTCTTCTTATACTCCTCTAAGCTAACCAGATGTATGAGGTAGGTTTTTTTTTTAAGCCTGTAGGGTTATTTTATAGTTGGTTTATCTCACTGAATTGAAATGAACACAGAAGAGGGGATAGAATCGGAATAATTAGCTCAAATTGACGTTGAACGTACCTCTCAGCTCATGTATTATGCGTAATATTCTTAGTGTAACAACCTTAAACTTTTCTTTTTAGGCAAACACAGGAAACATCCCGGAGGGCGTGGTAATGCTGGTGGTTTGCACCATCACAGGATTAACTTTGATAAATAGTAAGCTAACACTTTAAATATATACTACCAAAATGCATGCTCGTGAAGTAGAAACACCTAACAAAACTTCCTACAATCCTTTGTATTTTTCCTTCTAATATGAAGTGTGGTATTACAGCTACAGTCAGCTCATGTCCCCATTTATCCTAAAATCAAAGACTTTTTCACTTAAACCGTATATTTGTAAGAGTTCAATACAGCATTCAGGAAACTTGACCAGACTTGCCTGTTACGATGTGGTCTTTCCTAAACAATGCACACACAAGTCGTTATGCATATTCAAAATGTTAAATCCAAACTGCATCCTATTTAGCTGCAGACTGTAAAGGTGTGGGATATTGTCTGTACTTCTGGCCGAGACTAGAGTCACATCTGGACACTGCCTGTTGTCCTGGTGTGCTAGAGTACTCGGATAGTAACCACTAATCTATATTCACTGGCTGTGCCCTTTCTTGGCTCAGTCAGTCACCAGGTTAGTGACAGTCATTAGTCTTGGATACTAATGAGTATTACACTTAAATACTACATGTATTGATATGAGTAAAGGTATAACGTGAAATCTTAATTACTTCGATCAAATAAGATGTTCTGGTGTTGATTTGTGATCGTACCTATTTAAGACGATTCAAAATGTGATCTAATGGGGAATGTGTTTCTTTCACAGTCACCCTGGTTACTTTGGAAAAGTAGGCATGAGACATTATCACTTGAAGAGAAACCAAAAGTTCTGTCCTACTGTCAATTTGGATAAACTCTGGACGCTTGTCAGTGAGCAGACAAGGCTCAATTACGCCAAAAACGAGGCTGGACTGGCCCCGGTCATTGATGTTGTGCGCTCAGTAAGTTTCTGCTCATACTCAAACTTGTAATTCCTGATCACTTCACGTGTAACTTAGCTTTGTATATCCCAGTAGCAAAATGGTGAATTGCAGATAAGCTACAGGGCTTGAATATTTGTCAACTTCTCAGCACAAATACCTTGGCGTGTAAGTAGTTACAGAGGTATTTAGGCTGTTTGGTTTTTTCTGAAAGAACTTTTTCTTATACTTGTGTGTGATTGTGGATGGGGACTTCCCTAATTTTGGAGGGTGGTGATAGGTCGCTTGTTTAAAATATTACTGGAAACATGTATAAAAACATGGTAGAAGTATTCTCATTTACATGAAGTCACTTCTCTACTATCGAGACTATGTAAGTAGTTACAGAGGTGCTTATGCTGTTTGGGTTTTTTCTGAAAGAACTGTTTCTTATCCTTGTGTGTGATTGTGGACAGGGACTTCCCTAATATTGGAGAGTGGTGATAGGTCACTTGTTTAAAATATTACTGAAAACATGTATAAAAACATGGTAGAAGTATTCTCATTTACATGAAGTCACTTCTCTACTATCGAGACTAGAGTCACACCTGAACATGTTGGGTTGTCCTGGTGTGCTATAGTTCTCGGACATTAACATCTGATCCATATTCACTGGCTGTGATGTCTCATGTCTCAGCCAGCCACCGAATCAGCAACACTTACCTTGGCTGCCAAGGGGGAATGTTCTGGGTCCCAAATTAAGATTCCTCTGTTTGCCAGTTACACCACTTCTTGTAAGAAGTGATGCCTTTTAACGGCTATGGTATTAATGGACCTGGTGCCATGACTGCCCCTTTAAAGTAAGGGACACGAATGAGATGAGAGGATTCTATGGTAGAGACCAGCTAGTGCTGTGAAGCCACGCAGAAGAGTCCTCTGCTCTCTTCAGAAGCACCAGGATGTCCTCCAGGTGAAGAGCATCGACCAGAAGTCACTGGGTAGTAGATAGTCTTGGAAATGCAGCCAGCTGCTCTCCCTTGGAAAAGTGGAAGAAGGTTGTTGACTTCTTTACCAGATTCCACATTTCTGTATATGGAGTATGGGGGAAAATAATCCAGCTTCTGAATTGCAGGAAAAGTTCATTTTATTGTTTCCACTTTTTCTCTGAACAAATGCAACTCCACAGAGTCGTGCAGGGTATGTTTTCTTCCATTCACACCAATTTTATATTGGAGACAAGCAGGGAATGAGGTCATGGTAATCACAGTTTTTGTTTTATTTGGTGCATGCTAAAAGACAGGTCTGAATGTAGGAGCCTGCAAGCCGATTACAAACACTAAACCCTTTTATTTTTTTTAAATCTTTTTAGGGCTACTACAAAGTCTTGGGCAAGGGGAAGCTGCCTAAGCAGCCTGTAATTGTGAAAGCCAAGTTCTTCAGTAGAAGAGCAGAGGAGAAGATCAAAGAAGTTGGAGGTGCCTGTGTGCTTGTGGCATAAAAGCCTTCGTTTTATTCAAATTTTTTGAATAAAGACAATGTGTAAAATGTCCTGATTAGTGGAATTTTCTGTATTTTTTTTTTCCTGACTTGTCTGGACACTGTTCACTCTGGAGTCTTGTCTGCTTAGTTATTTCTGGCAGTTTTTGATTAGTGGTTTGACTGCTGCTTTCTGTTGTTTAAAATCACTTGGCTACAGTGTCCAGCATTTGGCATGTACAAATACCTCATTCTTTGGTCTTTGTGTGGTAGCAAAATAGATAGGTTCTTTCTGTATTTGTGCAGGGGGGGTGTTACAAAACACAGACCATTTTAAACCATGTGCTTTTTAGAAACTACTGGTGTAGTATTGGGTACCAACTGAGGTGTTTGCATCCTCATCAGAACATGGGCTCATAGTTATCTATAGTACAGGATATTTAAGAGATGGATAGATGTGCTTAGCAACATGGTTTAGAGATGGCTTTTGCCAGTGTTGGGTTGGTGGTTGTACTTGATGATGTGAAAGGTCCCTTCCAACCTGGACAACTCGATGGTTCTGTGATTCACTGACAGTATAACACCGTGCTTTTGCAATCTCTTTGCTAGACCACAGCTTGTGAAGGCATCGGATTTCTTCCAAGATTCATCTGACTTGTTCCACCACAGGACAAAATCGCTTCTGCACATACTAATTCTGAATTTCACTGATTCATAGCGATTGTAGCAGCAGCATCGTGTCCTTTTTTCCAACTCGGTGGTTCTGTGATTCACTGATAGTATAACACTGTGCTGCTGCAATCTCTTCGCTCGACCACAGCTTGTGAAGGCATCAGATTTCTTCCAAGATTTGTGTGACTTGTTCCACCACAGGACAAAATTGCTTCTGCACATACTAATTCTGAATTTCACTGATTCATAGCGATTGTAGCAGCAGCATCGTGTCCTTTTTTGTTAATTGTGGCAGACTAGCTGGTGGACAGACTAAGCTAAAAACTTTTAAAGCTTTTTGTCAGTGTTACTGGACTGAGAGATGGCAATTCCAATTTGATGTGCTTTAAGGGTTAGTAACAGCAGTTACATACTGAAACTTGCTTTATGACTGAACTAATGCTGTCATTTCATTAAGTTTTGCCATCAGTACCCTCCTCAAGTAGGGTACAGAATTCCTGAAGTGACCATGTGTGGGACAGATGCTGCCAGCTGCTTTCAGCCTTCCTTACAGGTAGTATAACGCCATGGCGCAGCTCTGGAAATTCTCTGTATGTATTTCTGATGTACTTGGCTTAAAATGACTACATAAAATACAGGTTGCTTAGTTATAGCATCAAAATAGGACTTTGGTGGCCAATGCAAGGCTTGATTGCCTACCAAAGCAGAATCTTCTAATAGTAAAATTCAAACAATTCCTTAAAGCTGGTGAGTTCGCTCTTGTCTTGTCAGACAAAGAGGATATAGACACTGTCACTTATTTTTGTACTCGCTGCTAGAAGTCTTGAATTATTGCTGATAGTTGTGAATTATCTTCTGGTATGTGTGGTAGGATCTTGGTTGGGTAAGGAACTCCTAACCTAGTGTTTGGCAATAATTAAAGTTAGTCTTAGGCATTGCTTTGCTAAACTAGTTCAGCTTAGCCAGCAGCACTGCTAGCTGTGAAGAACTAAACCAGTTTGTAAAACACTGAGGTAAAAGTATGTGAACTTTATCTCATCGACTGCTGGGACCACTGTTTCCTAAGACGAGGTGCTATTTACCCACTGCCAAAGCTAAAACATTTCAATCCTCAAAGGCCAGTTGTGCATGGCAGCACAAAATAAGGAATGTTGTTACTGCCTCACGTCTGCGATGGCTGACCAGAGCACAAAGACAGTGAAAAGCTGCCTTTCCACGGCAGTACCCTGTGCACACATGGCAATGGGTGAGTGACAGCAGCTCAGGGACACACAGAATCATAGAATGGTTTGGGTTGGAAGGGACCTCAAAGATCATCGAGTTCCAACCCCCCTGCCCTGGGCAGGGACACCTCCCACCAGACCAGGTTGCTCAAGGTCCCATCCAGCCTGGCCTTGAACCCCTCCAGGGATGGGGCATCCACAGCTTCCCTGGGCAACCTGTTCCAGTGTCTCACCACCCTCACAGTAAAAAATTTCTTCCTGAGATCTAATCTGAATCTTTTTTCTTCCCATTTAAAACTGTTTCCCCTTGTCCTATCATTACACCTCCTGGCAAAGAGTCCCTCCCCAGCTCTTCTATAGGCACCCTTCAGGTACTGAAAGGCCGCTGTAAGGTCTCCCCAGAGCCTTCTCTTCTCCAGGCTGAACAATCCCAGCTCCCTCAGCCTGTCTTCATAGGAGAGGTGCTCCATCCGTCTCATCATCATCATGGCCCTCTGCTGCACCTGTTCCAGCAGATCCATGTCCTTTCTGTGTTGAGGACTCCAAAGCTGGACACAGAGCTCCAGGTGGGGTCTCACGAGTGCAGAGCAGAGGGGCAGAATCCCCTCCCGAGACCTGCTGGCCACACTTCTCTTGATGCAGCCCAGGATGGGGTTGGCTCTCTGGGCTGCCAGCGCGCACTGCCAGCTCATGGTGAGCTTCTCCTCCATAAGCACTCCCAAGTCCTTCTCCTCAGAGAAGGAGCGTACACTCTCGCTTCTTCGGTGTCTTATGTCTCGAGTAGTTCTTCCGTATATTGTAGCCTGCCTTTTGGGTGCAAAAAGTTTTGAGCTGTTTATCGAGTTATGTTTCCGCCCGGCTCCTTTCCCAGCTGACTCCCAGCGTAGGCCCTGCGGGGAGCGCCGCCCGTCGCCATGGCAACAGCGTCCCCCGCCCGCCGGCACGGCGTGGAGGCCGCTTCCGGTGACGTATACCCGCCCCGAGCCCAGTGACGCGTCCCGCTTTAGTCCCGCCCCCCAGAGCTGTCACTCATGGCCGTTGTTGGGCGCGCGGGGGCGGCCGTTGTTGGGCGCGCGGGGGCGGCCGTTGTTGGGCGCGCGGGGGCGGCCGTTGTTGGGCGCGCGGGGGCGGCCGTTGTTGGGCGCGCGGGGGCGGCCGTTGTTGGGCGCGCGGGGGCGGCCGTTGTTGGGCGCGCGGGGGCGGCCGTTGTTGGGCGCGCGGGGGCGGCCGTTGTTGGGCGCGCGGGGGCGGCCGTTGTTGGGCGCGCGGGGGCGGCCGTTGTTGGGCGCGCGGGGGCGGCCGTTGTTGGGCGCGCGGGGGCGGCCGTTGTTGGGCGCGCGGGGGCGGCCGTTGTTGGGCGCGCGGCTTCCCCTCAGAAGGAAGGATTTTCCTGTATAAAACCGGGAGAAATTAAGAAGCTAAATGAAGAGCATCTAACTTTTTGAATATAAAGTATCCTCATTTTTACTAGTTTGGTTGGTGGAGGGTTTTTTGTTTGTTGGTGGGGTTTTTTTGTGTGCTTTTTGTTTGTTTTTTTAAACTGATAAACATGCTTTGGTAGATGGGGATATTTTCATTTGATGTTTTCCATTCCAAATTCTTGGCAATTTACAGTACTGCTAGTGAGGTAATTATACACAAAACCGGTAAAAAGTTGATGTTATTTTAAAATGCTGCAATGAGCGTCGTGTAGTGACATCCACATTTAATGGAGGGACAAAGGTAAAAAACATAAATAATCATTTAACTAAACCTGAGAAAAAAGGAACAGAGGAAATTGAAAGACTTGCATAGAGAGTTTATCCCTGAAATACAGAAATGATAAAGTTATGGGAGTGTATCATCACAAACTTCTCTTGTACGAAGCATATTAATGCTTTACTGGAAGTTCCAGCCTTGTGATATCTAGATACTTCTCTTCGGTTTGTGGTGGGGTGGCTGTGTCCTTCCTGAGGCAGCCCCCCAGCACGGTGCCTTTCCTTTGCCCTCCTCTGGGCTGACACCCCAAAAGCCCAGCACTTTCCTTCCCCTTCCAGGGGTGACTCACCCTGCCAGCTGCCTCCCCAGCTCTCCCTGTCCTGTGCCTTGCCTCGTTACCTTCACCACACAGCTCCAAATGCAATTCAGTTAATTTTCTTTGTAATTGCTGCTGCTGGGCTTGGTGTTTCCACCAAGCGTAGCCAAGTCACTGGTAATGTAGCTGCCCGACTGCTGATTTGCATATCTGTCTCAATAGGAAATTTTAAATACTTTCATCACCCTCATCCTTCCCTGTCCTACCAAAACACTTGTACGTAGTTTCATATATTATGCAAAAAGCATAAATTAAAATGTATGTTAAAGCGCTTCTGCTCATTCAGCCACAGGTTTGGACTTTACGGTGATACAGCATTTCCCAGTGTTGGGCTTTGTTTGCATCGATTGTCTGTGCATGGATGCTTTAGTCCTGGGCTGTGGTTTCTCTGTCTGAACAATGTGGTAGTCTGAGACCTCAACTTCCTACAGCAAATATTACATGTTTTTGTAGGTGCTGTGTTGTCTTAGCAAGAGTTCTTGCAGGAAACAATAGAGATGGAGCAAGCTGAAAAGCCGTGCAGCTCTAATGACATTTGCCTCTGAAAGATGGTTGATGAAGGTGCACTGTAAAATATGAGCACATATAAGAAGTACTGATGGCATGTTCATTGGTTAAACCACAGGTACAATTAATATTTTCATTTGATGTTTTCCACTCCAAATTCTTGGCAATTTACAGTACTGCTAGTGAGGTAATTATACACAAAACCGGTAAAAAGTTGATGTTATTTTAAAATGCTGCAATGGGCGTCGTGTAGTGACATCCACATTTAATGGAGGAACAAAGGTAAAAAAAAAATAATCATTTAACTAAATCTGAGAAAAAGGAACAGAGGAAATTGAAAGACTTGCATAGAGAGTTTATCCCTGAAATACGGAAATGATAAGGTTATTGGAGTGTATCATCACAAACTTCTCCTGTATGAAGCGGATTAATGCTTTACTGGAAGTTCCAGCCTTGTGATATCTAGATACTTCTCTTCGGTTTGTGGTGGGGTGGCTGTGTCCTTCCTGAGGCAGCCCCCCAGCACGGTGCCTTTCCTTTGCCCTCCTCTGGGCTGACACCCCAAAAGCCCAGCACTTTCCTTCCCCTTCCAGGGGTGACT